ACCCGTAAGTAACCCAGTGAAGGCCCCCTTCTATTTTTGGGAACCCTCTCCATTAACAAACAAAGTAACATACCTCCCATTTCCAAGAGGTGAAGGTAAGTCGACTCCTCTCCCCGCACCTCCAAAATGCTGGGGACCCTCCAATAAAACCTCGTTACCAAGAGGAGGCAAATTACCACCACCGTGCAAACCTCGGATGCTATTGCTAGATGGGTGACTCTCCATTAGTACCTCGTTTCCAAGGGAAGCAGACAAGTTTCCTCGTTCAACACTTCCTCTATGAGCACTGCTGCTACTAGATGGGTGACCCTCCATTAAAACCTCGTTTCCAAGGGAAGTAGACAAGTTTCCTCGTTTAACACTTCCTCTATGAGCACTGCTGCTACTAGATGGGTGACCCTCCATTAAAACCTCGTTTCCAAGCGGAGTAGACAAGTTGTTCCCTTGCTCGAAACCCCCCCTTCCCTGAACTCCATCAAGAGACGAAGATCGTTCCGTAAAAACCTCGTTACCCAACCTTGCGTGAGGCTCTGTTCTGACACCTCCTCTTGTAGCACTACCAGGTGAAGTAGTAGGCGGCCGAGAAGGCATGGGAGGTTTGGTTGAGGAAGAGGAGGAAGAGACGGTGGGCTGGTCGGGGATCGTTACCTCGCTCCCCGTGATGGCTCGCTGGGGCCTGGAAATGGGGCTCCGAATCACTGGGTAACTACAATGATCACGTATTAAAAAGAGGGAACCTTTACGCGGCAGTATACAATGTACCTCTTCAATAACTGGGTCATCGTAGTGAGAACGATAACTTTGCTTGTGGTAGCTTTTCCTTGAATCACCACCACCACCACTCAGGCTCACAATAAAATGAAATTGCTGCAAAGTGATGAGTACTACTGCCTCTATCGGATCACGAATACGATTATTAATTAACCAATCCTCCCAAATGTGGGTGGTGAGTGACTTTCTTTCTTGTGTGTAGCTAGTGTACTACACACAGGTTCATGTATGTGTAACAGTAGCAGAGACCAGTAATCAGTAACCCAATACCAAAAGGCTCTTAACACCCATCAAATACTCACACCACTATTTTCGGTGGTGCACTACTTGTCATAAACAACATACTTACCCCTCTACTGCCAACAGGTAGAGTGCCAGAATAAGAAGAACTGTGTGGGGAGATATCAATGACTCCTCATTACTAGCTAATAATTATTGTCCTCACTATGGGGCGTTCTCGTAGTCGTCATAGTATCCCTCCACTTGCTTGTCCACTGCATTGTGAAACGGGCAGTCGTGGTGATGGTGAAACGAGTGTACGTGGTGCCCCGAGTGTGAGTGGTGACAGTGGTGAGAGTTTTGATGGTGGTGATCATCGGGGGTGTGGGGAGGAGACGGGGGGCGTTTGTGAGGGTGAGGGTACGGGTCTAGTCTCCTAGGAGGTACTCCACTATTGTCCAACCACGGTCGACGACCTGAAGGGAGACCTGATGAGGTAGGAGAGGGAGGAGAGACGAGAGGGAACCAGTGGAAAACGTCTTTAGCAGCATAAATGGGTAGAGTATATATACTAGCCCAGAAAGACAAAAACAAAGAAGACTTGTATAGCCCAACGGAGTGATATGAGATGAAAGTGGTAACTGTTTCTGTTAGTTTTCATTCACCAGATCGAAACACAACACGTACTCAGCACACAGTGTGTTAAAACAAAAACAGTACGGCCCACAAGGGAGCTACAGCTCACTGTTTGCCCTGTCTCTCTTGGGCTCCACGATCCCTGCCAGGGCCTTCAGTTTGTGCATAAGAGGGAGGGTCTTCTGGCCCGAGTCCGGCATCTTCCACTCCTCTAGAAACTCTTCCACCTGCAGTTCCACATATACAGCAACACATAGAGTAGGTACACCTTGCCACTCATGGCTCATTAGGTCAGGGAAATGCAATGGTTTTCAACATGTGCAACAAAGCACATAGCATAACAAAATTTAAGGTGTGTTGAAGCAGTGCTCCATAAGGAATATGACTTAATGCACTCTTTTTTCAGCATTCTAACACTCAAGGGTTATGAGTTTTAATTCAGCATTGGTCAATACAACTCAAGCGACTCTCGTTCACAAAGTTCGATTGTGGTCAGTTGTCATCAGCTAAAACAGAAAAGACATCGCGACCCCGTAGTTACCTAACCTGCTTCTCGATGCTATCGGGGTAGCTCTGCATGATGGTGTCAATCTCTTCCTGAGAGAACCCCAGGTACCGTGCAATCTCCACCCACCTCTCCCCCAGGGTCAGCAGGAAGTTCCTCATGTCTCGAGGAGACTCTGAGGCTGCACTGTCATGGAACAAGAAGAGACTCACATGGAATGAGAGTTTGGTTGAAAATTGGGACAAGGTATATAGTCAAAATCAGTACTGTCCTGCCCATAAAACTTTGCCACAAAACTCTTAATGGATTAACAAACCTAGTCCAAAACAAACGTAAGTATTAGTAACGACACGAGCGCAGTAACATGGAGTAAATAGATGTTCCGGAGAAAATCAACATGCATTCTGAATGTTGATAGACTCTAAAGTTCAGACCTAAAAATACACTGATCTCTATATTAGTATTGCTACATAAATACACAGGCTCCTACCATAGACTCTAAAGTTCAGACCTAATAATTATGCAAAATACACTGAGATCAGTGTATTTTTGTGCCTGTGTATGTATGTAGCGAAGCTGCATAATCATTAGCATTGCTACACACATAGACAGGCTCCTACTATTAATAGGTACTCACAGGGTCCACAGAGACGGGTGGTGTACCTTCCGAGGCCCTCGGTGGCCACCATTCCCTCCACCAGCTCCATCACGTCACATGTAGACCTGCTCTTCAGCCACTGGACACACAACTCACACAGATCAGCCGACACTCTCTGTCACGGTACAAACACAACATATAGAATCATGAAGATATCGCCCGACTAGCTGGGTTCATAAGACAATGACACCATTATTATGGGACATTGCTCATGATACGCCCCGAAGATTTTTGCTTATGCTCTGCATTTGTTATAGTGAGTGTCTATCTCCTTGAAACTGTTTTGTAGGGAGTGCATCAAAAGCCCAAGACAAAGTAAAAGTATCATGTTACTGATCACCTTTGACTTTCATATTCTGAACCACTACAATGTTAGGAATGTGGTACAAAATACCCCTTCAGCTACTCACTGTTCATGTCTGAGTTTGACAGAAGGGCAGGAGGGGGGACGTGGAGATTCAAAAGTATAATATATATATAATTTGTATTCTCAGATAGAATCATGCCTTCAAACCCAAAGAATGCTTTCCAGTATGCAGCATATGTAGTGTAACTGTCTGCAGTGAAGAATGACCTAAGAGTCTCAACAGAACCCCAAGCAATGTATAGGCAATGTATACATAATGGGTAGCACATAGGTTGCTATACTAAACATCCTGGAAAAAGTTTTTAGACCGACCTGGTGAGGTGGTAGGTTGAGGTGAGAGGCTAGTGTCCGGGCAGTCTCTGGAGAGAGACGGACACCCCGCAGTTTCTTCACCGCAGCTCTCAGAGCTGGCAAGAGACAGAGAGACAGATGGAACAGGGTGGGATTAGAGCAAGCATATAGGGTGTGTGAATAAGTGTGAGATACTGTATGTGCCTTAGTCAGCATTTCAACTACTATGAATTATTGCCGGCACTGTTCCCAAATTTACTCTATTAGTTTAACTCACGAATGGTCTGAGCCTCGGTTCCATTAGTCAGGCCTTCCAGTCTGCCACCGGAGCTTTCCTCTGTCACTCCATACTCCTGAACTGTATATAGTCACGAACATTGAACATAATAGAGGGATTAACCAAATGAGGACAGAGACTTCATAGCTATATTTCAGGTCAACCCTCAATTTAACTCTCCGAAAAAATGCATAACAAAACTACATATCCATAAAAATAAAAGTTCATCGAAATTACGGCACTATGCATTAGTCTCACCAATCTCCCTGAGCTCCCTGGCCAGCTGGTAGTGAGCCGGGAGCCCTTTCTTTCTCTCAGAGGAGGTCAGGAGTGAGAGATACAGGGAAGCCAGTCCATAGGAACCCTTGTACATGAGGTATTCCATCAGCCGCACGGCCTGCTCCTCTGCCTCCAGACTCCCACTCCTCAGGTGACTGTACTCCGTGTCAGTGAGGGCCTTCAACTTTCTGAGGGGCGCGAGGAGGTCGGACACGCGGATAGAGCTTCGAGCTCGGGGCATGATGCGTGCCGAGATCTGATCAAGCTGCTCATCATTGAGCTCTTTATAGCCTGGAATAAAGTATTGACGGGTTCGACACACTCATCAAGACCTCTCATAGTGAACTATGGTTAGTTCTGTGTGTAGAGGTGACCCTGGGGGTGATTTTCTCAAGCAACAACAGCTGAATCAAGCTGAATTATATGTACAACTCATACTTCCATCAAGGATCATACGTTGTGCCAGTGTTATTGTCCAAAATAATAGCTAGATGCTACGGCTGAGAGGATCGCTAATCGATCGCCTTACTTCCATCGAAGAGATCTCCACCAAAGAACTCCTTGAGCGACATCCGCTCGTCCTCTGTGAAGGGGTGGGTATAGTAGTAGTACCCAGACTCAGTCATCGCCAGTAGATCGGCACACACAGCATGGACAATCGAATCAGCTTCGGTACGGCAAGACAACCATTGCTGCTCAGTGATTTTAGCGCTTACGTAATTCGCGGGCTAACAGTATTAATAGGGAGAACCCCAGGGAAAAGCCCGCACATCCGCACTATAATAGCCGCCAAGACAAACAAACAAATTTCATCAGCTATAGAACTAGCTGTGGACTGTTCCGCTGGACTTGTGGTGATCGAAGAGTAAGTCCAGGGGACTGCAGTCGCCTGAGGATGATGTCGCTAGCCGTCAGCTGCTGGCAGGACACCAGGGCATCTCTCAGCTCCATAAAAGTCCTCTTACTCTCACCCCCTCCTCCTTCCCCCAGCCAGAACTTTAACATCTGTTGGTGTGGGATAAAGCCATAGGATTACAAATCAGTGTAATACTACACTTTATCATGGGAAAGCTATGACCACACCTTGTCTACACAACTTGCAATATTTACACTTTACTACCATTTTCAGCTGACACACCACAGTACCTGGTAATATCTCTCCTCCTGCATTGTTGAGTCGTTTGTAATCTGTCTAACTCTATCCAGGGGAATGTTTAGCCTCTGAGCAAAGTCATTCATTACAGAGACACTGGGAGGCAATCTCTGACAGACATCTAGTATGGCATACTTATGCTTGATGAGAGACATGTCTATTATGGAGTTCAGAAGGTGATGGTCATCCGATCGTTCAGTGGATGATGTCGAGCTAAGAGTGGGGCCTGAATAACATATAGGGGGAGGACAAAACAGTTGAATACATACTGAAATAGAATTTACTACGCTATGCATGCCGCGACAAGATTCATTATTCACTAGTGTAAATACCTCGACAGACTTCTAAGAAAGGGGCAAAGTGCAAGAAAACACTATGAATAGCTACAGACTCACTCTGGGATCTAAACTTTGGCACTTGCTGCTCTCGCTGCTGAAGAGAGAGAGAGAGAACAGAAATGATACTTTAAACAACCAAACTTAATAAAATGTTGGTCTTTAGGCAAAGCCATGGTATATACTTACAGTAACTTACAGTAAAGGGTGCAGTATTATCAAGTGGCAGGGTAGAAATACTGCTGGATGAATTTCCACCTCCATCTACTGTACTACTGGGAGCCTCTGTGACTGTTGAGCTGTGACGACATGTAAGTGGTGAAGACACGATGAGGGGTGTGCTGGGTGTGTCGGTGTGACGAGTGAGTGGTGACGAGGTGGTGGGAGGTCGGGTCTGACTAGGTTGGTCACCTCCTATTGTAGTAGCACCATTTGCAGTGAAGGTGTTTGCAGTAGTGACAACCTCTCGAGAGGATGTTGAAGGGGGTTGTGGTAAATGCAGGGATATCCCTAAAAAGTCACCCACACACACACAAATGGTTACAGTATAATGCTTGAGTCCTGACTTACCATGGCTCTGTGCTAGCTCTTGTGCTCGTTCGTCATATCCCATCACCTTTCTCAGGGCAGCCAGTAGTTGAGTCATCGCTTCTTTCTCGGCCACATCTCCCAGTCCTTCTCGCCATAGTCTGGACATGATACACACAGCACTGATTTCAAGAGCATGATAAATCACCCAAACATGCTGAGGAACAAAATGAGTAAAGTGGATGGACTCAGGGCTTGGCTGTAAAACATCACAATGATGCAACTCCCTCTATAAAACGGCTTCCGGGTCAGTGACCTGATAGTATCGCGAGTGCAGTTTGCCTCCAGTACGGGTTTTGGCTCGTCCTTGTGCTGAACACAGAACCGATAGCGCTCCCTGTGTCCTAGTTGAAGTCTGGACAACAGTTGGACCCACTTCGGACCAATCTCGGAGGCGATTTGCTCAGTTAGGTCGTCCATCGCAGCCACAGCCGGTCGGCGTGGTCGCAGTTTACGTGACGGTGAATGTCGTCATAGTACTCGAGACTCGATCTTTCGATCCCACGCCTATACTCACCGGCGGGACCACCGCGGTCCGTGGGTCAGCACCACCGCGTAATGGAAGCGAAAAATGTTGTGCACCAGCCAGCCTGGGACAGAGAACGACTCGGATGTTTAGCCAATGTCCTCCAAGCAGAAGGTAAAACGGGGTGTCTTACCCATGATAAACAAGCTAACACACGAGCTAGCTAAAGAACCATTTACTCGCAAATCTCTTTCTACAGGAAGCAAGCTATCTCTACCAGTTATAAGGGAGATTAGTGCGCTTGTTTCTACTTCTATTCCGGTTTCAAAAGTAGTGATACACCTGTATCAGAGAAGAGTTGTCTCCAATGATGACTATGAAGACTTGAAAAAAGAGCAACCTTCAGCAGGGATCAAACTAAGTCATGCCTTGGTGGCCTCGAGCAAGCGGAGCGTAGGCGAAGGCAAGAATCTCATCAAAAACCTCTACTTGGCACTGCTTGATGCATTTCTGGACACTTACGACCAAGGATGTCACCATGTGGCACTTCACCTTCGTGAAACTGGTATGCAACTGCCAAGTTAAACCTTGAGGTGTAATAGGTGTAATATCATGCTACTCTCTTTGCTCCAGCTATTGACTACTTACAACGCAACCATGTGCTCAAAGAACTCAGTGAAGAGAGCAGGACGGGTACTATGTAATTGTAACACATGTGTAGCTAATTGTCTTCCATTACCTTTAGACATGCAGAGTTCCATTGAGAGGCTCCCAGATGTGAATTTGCAGAGCCCAGCAGCATTTAAACTGCGTGATCAGCTAGACCTACCCCATGGCACAGAGGTCACTAGCCTGAAAGCCATACTCGAGAAATACAACAAGTCCAAAGTCAATGTTGGACCCAACCCAGATACCTGGCTTGTTGCTGTTGTACAGGCCATGATGCTGACTCAAGGAGTTGGACGCTACGTCACCTACCTGCTGCCCTTTCGTAAGAACCAACAAAGTTTTGAAACATATTGAATTCTATTCTAGCTTCTCCTTTTCACTAGATAAATCTTACCCAGCAGAGCTTTTGATCTTTCTAGACAGGCTGGGTGAGAAGTGGGAATTTTTTGCTCTTTTTCTGGGTTTCACAAATGGCGAAGTTCGCGATATCAGACGTCGGTCGTTTGGCAAAACGCAGCAAGAAATCAAAAACTTCTCCAAAGTGTGGCGGATGCCTGATGTGGAACAGGAAACTGAAGAGATCCTTCACCGTGTTCTAAACGCAGCTAATATAATTATTGGTAAATATTACACACACCTGTATTGTATATGGTGTTTTGTTGATTTCATGGTATATAGGAGTTCCTGTTGAAGAGTCTTCACCAGCTGTTTACTCATCATGTCTTCACCAGATTCCTAATCAAGGCAGTCAGATGGAGCATGTGATCAAAGTGATGTGAGTGCTTAGTATGATGACAGTATTTTATGACTGTATACCATAATGAATCTGTGTTGTGTTCAGCAATGACGGGATAACCATCACTACCCAGGTGTCTCATCAGAGCAGTGCGGATAGCCCCAGGCCCATCTCCCAACGTAGCTCTCTTAGGAGCAATGTAAGGCATTTTTGTGTAAATTTGGGTAAAGGAATACACTTTTCCATCTTTAGGCAAGTGAGCGCCATCAGAGAGAACTAAGAAGGTAGTGCCACTGGCATAATTATTGAGTCAAAAGCAAATTGCCTTGCAATATCTTAGCATGCAGAGTGGTTCTAGTGATCTAGGGGGCAGTTTTGAGAGTGACGTACCCCATCATACAATCAGGTTTGTGTTTATGTTGAGCAATGCACTTGCTTATGCAGTACTCAACCCTTTCTTCAGTCGCCAGTCGCACACAATTAATGATGTGGACACTGACACCATGAGCAATGCACCATATGTGAGGTCAGCTGTATATCTTGTTCTTTCTAGAGCTGCATTGATTATTGCTAATTTTCAGAGAATCTAGTTTCTTTCAAGAGGAGGATGATTCCGCCATAGCATCATCTTATCCCAGTCCCACAAAGCCTGCACTGACGTCACAGCACCCACTGGCACCGAAACCATTCCCTGGTACCTTGGGCTTGGATTCCACCACTTCACGTCCCACATCTTTGGAAGTATGCCCTATTAGCCAGGTAAATAAAACCATGAAATCGCATACAAACCTAACTGTGTAAATTTTGGCAGCCAACAACCGCACACTCGGGGGAAATGGTTGCCCCACTCTTAACATCACCACAAAAGCAGCCTTTGGCTTCTGATCAGCCCACTATCGACTCAGCTCTACCCCAATTTCACCCTGATGATGAAGTCACAATTAAACCCAATGGCATTGGAAGGGGGCTGTATGGGGAAGTTTGGAGAGTAGAGCACAAAAATAACCCTTATGCAGCCAAAGAATATCGAAGTGGGTTTATTACTCCAGAAGAGCTGAAAGAAAAGTTTGGACAAAAAATGCTAAGTCTCAAGCATGAAAACGTAGTGCGGTATTTAGGGGTTTGCCGTATCAAGGAAACTAACCGCTCCGTTGTAATCATGGAAATGCTTCCAACAAATTTGAAATCTATTTGTGGAGAGCAAGCTAGAGAGAAAATTGAACTTCTGCCAGAAACTAAGTTTTTGATCCTTCGTCAAATAACGGAGGGATTGGCCTACCTTCACTTAAACGGCATTATCCACTGTGATCTCATCCCTACCAATATACTAATGCTGACAAAGCCAGAGTACACTGCAAAGATTGCAGACTGTGGCAATGCTTTGGTGGGGCCAATTTCAACTGTGGGTATGGACGGCCATCTGGATGGAGCAAGTGTTTGTGACTACCTTCCTCCTGAAGCATTAGAGGGCGATATAAGCAATGCCCAAGTAGACGTGTTTTCGTTTGCCCACTTATCTCTGTATGTTATCCTGCAACATGAGCCCCATCCATTGAAAACCCCTACCTACAAGCTGGAAGGGAAACTAACACCAAGGACAGAAGTAGAACGTAGACTCAACTATTTCATCGAGATGAGAACTGTGAATTGTGGCAAGATACCGCTGGAGCCACTTGTTCAATGGATTGAGCTGTGTCTCAGCGATGAAGCAAGTGACAGACCTGAAATAACACAATTCAAAAAACAAGTTCTTGGAGAATGACATTTTGTAGAATTTCATGACGCAGTACGCGCATGCGCTCTTAGAAACGGTGGTCAGTTAGGGGCGTGGTACAAATGGAGTCTCTCCGTGTAGCTGATGAAGACGAGTGGGACCTGCTACGTTTTCAAGACGTCCGCTCACTGGCGGAAAGAGGTAAAAAAACGCCGTCTGGTACCTTCTACAATCTCTCGACTGTCTGATCCATACAGGCAGGGACCTCGGCAGGGACTATGCTCACCGAGTGGTAGTAGCCCTATCCTCACACGTCCTGCAATGTCAGTGTGTGCAACAGCTGCTTCCATTTCTCGTTAAGCGGGGTGTAGTTGCCAGTAAAGTCAGTTCGCTCATCCTTAGCCAGTCAGACAGTGAAGCTGCAACCACCCTGGAGAAGTTATTGAATGCTAGATCACATGAACCAGAAAACCAGTCCATGGTGGAGGGTATCTACCTGGCTCTCTTGGACTGCTATGAGGAGTCTGGTAATGTGTGGTGTCATGGTGTGGCTACCAGTGAACTTCGACCTGTAGGTATGTATGTTTTATGTGCTTGATGCTTGTAAACGTGACTACATATTTGCAGTGAGGCTGGTGTTAAAGCTACCAGATGTCAATTTATATGGTATATATTTTATACATGTGTACACTTACTACTTGTTGTATGAGTATTAACATAATAGAGCCCAAATTTTGCAGGTAAGAATGTAAACTACTATAATGAAAAGCACTAAAGTGCAAACCCTCGGCGAACTGCGCATGTGCGGTACCACTAATTGATGGGCTGGGCTTTTTATGCCTTTACTCGTGGTATCCCGCTAGTAGCTCGCGGAGAGTCTGGCACGGGCTAGCTACAGTAGTAAATAGCATGCGGGAGTCGATACATGCCATTCGTTGTGACTTCTTGTGCCTCCGAGGTACACAGAGCAAGCAGATCAGGTCGAGGTAAGCCTGTACTAATTTACATATTGGCTTGTTCACTTGGGTTTCACGCCATAACTTTAGAACACAGTAGTTTTACGAAAATCGCCTTTTTTTAAATCAACCCAGTGTAGCACTGAACCCGATCATATCGCTATTTACCTGATTTCGTGCGCACGGTGGCAGAAAACGTGGTAACAGACAGACAGACACACTTACGGGACAACTACCGTAACCCTCGCTGCGCATGCGCGCCGAGGGTTAATTAGTATGTCACTGAGAGGTCACTGATTTAACATTTTTGTACAGAATTGGCAGTTGTACAGCAGAGAGTACCACCAACAAACCTACCAGCAAGTCATGCAGCCATACTAACCGAAGAGCTTGGGCTGGGGAGCTATGGCCCTGTCACGGATCTCAAGAAGATCATCCAGATTGCTTTCAGCACCAGAGTTTCATTTCACAAGCTGGTGTCAGCTCTTCTCCTCACTCGAAACACTGGCCGATACCTCAGCCTTCTGTTACCCTACTGTAAGTTATCTATGTCCAATAGCTATCATTTCCCTGTGCACCCTAACAACCCCCAGGCCACAGCAACCCGCCGTGGGTTTATGAGGTGCTACAGACACTGGGTCAGAACTGGGTTAGACTGGCAGTCTACCTGGGCTACTCTGAGGTGGAGATTGGTGCCATAGTCAGAGCTGGAGGGGGAGACCCCCATCGTCAGATACAAATGTTCATGAGGGTGTGGTGGATGCCAGACTGTGGGACTGAGGAGACAGTGGGCCTTCTCAATCAACGTGGGCATTCTCTATGATGTGTGGAAAAACGAAAATATATTTTAGTTATTGTGTTTCAGTTTGTCATGGAATACTGAAAGTTGTTAATGAACCAATTCGTTTGAAAGTCAGTCACTGGGTATGTTAACGACTCTCCTAGCATTTTTAACCTTGTTATGCTACAGGAGAATGGTGTTGCTCTGCTCAATGCTTGTTTGGACAATGACTGGAGAAAGGCCGAAGCTCACGTGAGGGCAGGAAGTCACTTGGGTTCTCGAAGTAAGGTATGCTAGAGTAATACACAATGGGATGCATGAGTGCACACATTGCACACAATGTGTATAACGTTCAAAGGCATGTGTATTATTTCAGGATGGGAGGACTCCACTGATGCTAGCATGTATCAAAGGGAAAGAGAAGATGGTCAACCTGCTCATTGACCATGGGGCCGATGTCCAAGCCATGGATAAGGTAACTATAACGTATGAACAAGCAATCAATTTGTTTTATTCATCTTACCCCAGAAAGGAGAAACATGCCTGAACTACACAGAGACTCTGAGAAATCGGGTTGTTCTTGAGCTAATTCTGAAAGAGTATCAAAAACTGGGAGTATCAGTGGATGTGGAATCATTGGTAAGCTAGATACCAACATGTCATTTTTACAAGTTAGTATCTTTCTAGTGCTTGTGTTTTTCTAACCTTTGTCCTCTATACTACAACTGCTAGGAAACTGGGTGTTCCCCTCTCTCTACTGCCTGCAAGTGTGGAGCCTTCGCCTCAGCTGAGCTGCTCCTGAAGTATGGTGCCAACCCAAATGGCTGCAAAAATGTTAGTTGAAGTAAAGTAAATCAAGGATTGTGTTCAGCACATAGAACATTTTCATGCTTGCATAGTAGTTTGTGCTGAGGGAAGTATATACACGTATCATTTCTCTGTGTGTGCATACATAGGGCCGGCATCGTCCTCTGGTTGAAGCTAGTGCTCAGGGACACATGGGACTAGTCAAATCACTACTGAGACGCAGAGCAGACATTAATGCAACTGGCACGGTATATGTGGTACACATACACAGCTATTTCTATACATATACATGTGCTACAGTCACAGAATGGGTACACTGCTCTGCTCCAAGCGTGCACCAGCAATCACTGGGGTGTGGCCCAGGAACTCATGAACGAGGGAGCTGACGTCAACCAGTGTGTAGCAAGTGTGAGTGCTGTTATCTTTATTGCAACTTGCTCTATAATCTCATGCAACAGGATTGCACAAGTCCACTCTTTTTAGCTGTGGCAGCAAACGAATACAAAACTGCTTCTGAACTCATCAAGAAGGGAGCTTCTGTTGATGCTGTTAGGGTAAGTACCAAGAGCAAATTATTTATTTTTCAGGGTCTGGCAAACGAATGCATTGGTGTGCCTAGAGCTAAAAGCCAGGCCTCTTTGCCTATAACACAACCAAGAAATTGGCTCCATAAATTACCCTATTCCTGAGTGAGCAGTTTTTCTTTGCCTTATTATCAGTTCCAACCGGGGGCAGTTGAGGGTACAGTTGAAGTCACTCCACTATCCCAAGCAGCTGGCAAAGGACTTGATGATATGGTCACCCTTCTGCTCAACAATGGAGCAAACTATCAACTACCTCTGCTCTGTAAGTTTAACCACAGTTCTTGATGGCAATCTGCATCTAATGCTATAGGAGACAATGCCAGCAATCGGATTCACCATCCTTGGTGACCACATTGAGACATTCCACCTGCTCTTGAAAAGCCCAAACCTTGTCAAGACACTGGCTGGGGTAGACAAATTAGTGTTCATCATCATTCTTTTTAACATACATAGCTACACTTTTTTCCAGCTAACACCAGCCATTGTCACCTCTGTCAGGACAGAGAAGTTTTACTACACTGAAAAGCTACTTGAGATTTTTGGTGGCCCAGTAAGCCATTATTTCCCCTGCAATTGTACAATTTTATGTAATATGTATCAGCAAGTGGCAATGATGCAAGCCCAGAAACGATCGCATGGATATACTGGTGGAAAACATTATGATGTACATGCAGGCAGTGCATCACCCTGAACTTGCAGAGGTATATTTAACCCCAAGTTGAGATCTGAGTGGTATATACTTCTTTCACTACAGGTTGGCTCAATGCCCCTGGAGCTCATGGTTTGTATGGTGTTAGTAAAAGAGCTAAAATTATGCTCTATACCCATTATAGGCTCCAGCCAGCAGGCAGATGAGGCTTGGTCCAGGAGACCAGGATAAGATAAACGCTGTCCTGACAGACTTTTCTAGGATATGTGTGTCTGCCATCCTGTATAGCCCTGATGTTAAAGTCACAGTGAGTTCCTTTTTTTGAGTCAAAGATATTTTAGATCTAAGGCTTGCTTTACAGCCAGAGAGTCTGATTGAGGTAGCCCAAGCCACTGGCAACGTGGCTGTTGCAAAGTTTTTCCGCCAAAAGCTGTCAAGTTCAATGGTAAGGTATTGCGTTTCAGATGCCGCATGTGTGAGATTTCTTACTTAACTGTAGACGGATGAAGAAATGAGGCAAACATTTCTCCTTGGTGATCGATTTCCACTGCGTTTCCTCATTGAGAACAATATTCTAACCATGGTACCCAATTTGTACATTCCTTTCAATGCTCAGTAGCTGTACTATGTTGTGTAGGAAATATTTGTGATTGAGGTCCTTAAGTTTCGTCCTGACGATTGTGAAGTCTTCTACAAAAACTTAGTTTGGACCTTTAAACACGTATGTACATGCAAACGTACAGTACACTGTTCCTTTTAGTGCATATCTACACACTAACAGATGAGTGGAGGGCTGACCTCCCAAACAATGGTATGCATTAATGCTGTGATTTATATGCTGTGAGACCACTTTCTTTTTCAGTTGATTCGATGCTGAAACAGCTCTTCAGTGGACGATTCACTCCCAGGACTTCCCCACAGGCTGGCACACAGAGTGGAACAGGTTTATCAATTTTCAAACTGAACACCCACAATATAATACTGACATCTATTATATAAACCTCAGTAGGTACAATCTCTGGAGACAAGTTATTAGACACTTTAATGAATTCCCACAGATACATATCACGGAATGAGGGAGCCGCCAATTGAAAGACAAGTTTCCGAACCATGTATGTACAATATTATTATACGCTTTTTTCCCCCTGTACTGATTTGACAATCTCCCTAGCCTTTGATGCCCGTACCAGGATGGAAAAGGGTATGCTGGAAAACATGAAGGGTGGGTTTCCTTGCGCAAACCAAACCAAACTGTTTCCTGCATTGTGTACATTGTGTGTCCAGAGACTCCATTGCCAGAACACAAGACCAGTGACGACGGGAAAGGGAATCCAACTCTGCCTGAAGAAAAGTCCGAGGGTGTCAGTAAGGCTGTGGAAAATGTGGAGAACAATACCAGACTGTCTCAGAGCCACACGAATGGTATTTTATATAGCTCAATGTATACTATGCGTAATGTATGCTTGTGTCCTGTTTGTATAGATCCTGCATTCAGTTCTCAATACCTGGTGTATGGGCAAGAGATACCTACTACAGGTGGGCAGCAATGCAGAGAACTCTTTTTTCCAGCTGTATATATACCACACTACAGACAAGGCTGTAGCCACAGTATTGAAACCAGTTCGGGTTAGAGTAATGAACACAGAGCTACTAGGTGGAGTTGCGTCATACTATTGTGAGTTACCAGACCCACCTAGTATTAACATTATTTTCCTACATATGTGTGCAGCACCTGTCGCTTCTGGATTCCCACCCACATCTAGCGATTTCCCAGGTCTGTTAACCTTCAAAAGTACTAGCATTCTACCTTCTGAGTTTCCCAGATAGCTCAGCTGGTTGAGCGCTCACTTAGAGAGCAGAGTGTCGTGGGTTCAAGTCCCACCTAGGGCAGCTCTTTTTTGAGGACTTGTCCTGGGTTTAGTTGACTTTTGTTTACACATGTACACCCTCTACCATATCTTATCTCACAGTGTGCTTTTGCTATGGCCCAGTATACCCATTTACAATGGTATACTTGTGTGTGAAAGTGTGCACATATTTTTTTACAGGCAAAGAGCGTTTCCTATGTCTACCAAACTCGACACTTAACCAAACTGGGGTCAAATTAGGCCAAGGGGCTTATGGTGACGTAGTGGAAGTAGAATACAAGGGGAAATGTTATGCAGCTAAAAAATACAGAATGTCAGAAGCTGTCAATAATCTTGGAGCTTTTAGCCGAGAGCATGAAATCCTTGCACGCATCCGCCATCCAAACATAGTACCGTACTGCGGAATATGCAAACTAGCATCCGATAAATCAACAGTCATCGTGATGGAAAGAATGGACAAAAACTTGATCACATTCCTTAGAGATGAGCTAAAATTTGATGAAAAATGCAAAATTCTGCACGATATTGCAAAGGGACTGCACCATCTACACAGTCAAAAACCCGCTATCATCCACAGAGATCTGACAGCTGGAAATGTGCTACTGACCAGCAATGGAGTTGCAAAAATCAGTGATTTCGGAAACTCTCGAATGGTGGATCTGTTCGCAACACCTGAACTCCTGACATCAAGCCCTGGAACTCTCGACTACATGCCTCCAGAAGCCCTGGAAGGAGGTGAATACGACGACAAACTCGACATTTTCTCGTACGGCCACCTCGCAATCCACATAATAATTCAACATCGACCACACCCACTTCTACGTCCAGTTTACACTGTGGGTGGAAAGTATGTTCCTCGTACTGAAGTTGAACGACGTCAGCGTTACTTAGGTCAAGTGAAGTCGAAATTGGAAGGTGGAGATCAAAACCCACTTTTTATACTCATAATAAGGTGCCTCCAGAATGAACCACACCCTAGGCCTACATGCAAAGACATACTGAAAGAATATTTCAATGATAATGTGTAGTTTTTTCTTGATATACTTGTAACAAAATTGGAGGCATAAGCACTGCGCATGCGCACTCGAGGAACTTCGATTTGTGTGCTTTATTTAGGATGCCAATGGCCCTAGCTAGTCTCTTGCCGATTGTCATACTAAGGTTCGAATTCTGTAAATATTTTGCATGTCTGTGTAAAGGTTGCTTACAATGTCAGAACTCGCCATGTCAAGAGAGAGTTCGCCGTCTTCACCAGGCCCAACGTCAAATAGTGCTCAAGCAGAGACTTCGTCACAATCTTCGGCGCAGTGCAGCTTGTTGCCAGTGTCACCACTCGTTGCAGGCACATCATCAACAGACTCAACTCCACCCTCCTCATCCGACCGCAATCCTACATCAAATAAACCTGTCCAGCCATCATCTTCTGGAAGTGGGGTAAGCATACTACTTGCCAGTTATACCTGTAGGTGAAAGTGTAGTTTGAAGAAGTGTGCAGCAAATTTGCTGTCACTATGATCATTAGTTGCTGCTTTGCCAAAGTTACCTACCATTTTGTTAAACGACCGTGTGTATAATATCCCTAGGTATTTTTGGAAAGTGTTTAGTAGTGTCCTTTATCCAGTGTAGCTACAGCAAAAATAAAAAGCACTGAAGTGCAAACCCTCGGCGAACTGCGCTTGCGCGATACCACCAATTGATGGGCTGGGCCGTAATATACGTTTACTCGTGGTCTTCCGCTAGCTTGCGTAGTGTCTGACACGGGCTAGCTACGGTAGTAGAAAGCATGCCTTCGGTTGAGACTACTTGAGCCTCCAAGGTACGCAGAGCAAGCACAGGTAAGCCTGTGCTAATTTGCATATTGAGCTTGTTCACTTGGTTTTCACGCCATAACTTTTGAACGCAGTGTTTTTACGAAAATCACCAGTTTTAAAATCAAGCAAATGTAGCGCTGAACCCGTTGGTGTAGACTTTTGGCAATCTTGTTGCGCCTAGTGGCAGAAAACGGAACGGACACACCGACCAAGTACCGGAACCGTCGCTGCGCATGCGCGTCGAAGGTTAATTAGTTAGGCACCACCCCCCCTCAAAAACAGGAGAAGGTCTGGTCTGCTTAGCATCGTAGAATGTATGATGTAATAAAATGTGGCTAACTACGAGGACGAGAAGCTAACAGCCAATGCTTCTGCTAGCACTGGGTAGCTCCTCTCTTGTGAACACATTCCTTTGCCATGCTGACTTGGCAAATTCCATGATAACCTGGTTCGTGTCAGTTTCCAGCTATTGGTTTGTCCAGAATCTCGACAGTGGGTACAAGTCGCTGATGATAAGCAGACCAGACCCTCACTGTTTTTGTGGCTATACACAAGACTAAGCAACAATGGGGTCAATGTTAATTAATAATAATGTTTCTCCTAACATTTCAGTCAAGCACAGGAGGATCACAGTCAGCGTTTGTTATACCACCCTTGGCAAAGCTGACCCGCTATTCCTCCGAAAGTTCAGAAGCTTCAAGTTCCCCCGATGTCGACTCCAATAAATGCACCCCTCTATTCAATTGCAAATGTGACTTTAGAGCTATTGGGTCTGCTTAGCATCGTAGAATGTATGATGTAATAAAATGTGGCTAACTACGAGGACGAGAAGCTAACAGCCAATGCTTCTGCTAGCACTGGGTAGCTCCTCTCTTGTGAACACATTCCTTTGCCATGCTGACTTGGCAAATTCCATGATAACCTGGTTCGTGTCAGTTTCCAGCTATTGGTTTGTCCAGAATCTCGACAGTGGGTACAAGTCGCTGATGATAAGCAGACCAGACCCTCACTGTTTTTGTGGCTATACACAAGACTAAGCAACAATGGGGTCAATGTTAATTAATAATAATGTTTCTCCTAACATTTCAGTCAAGCACAGGAGGATCACAGTCAGCGTTTGTTATACCACCCTTGGCAAAGCTGACCCGCTATTCCTCCGAAAGTTCAGAAGCTTCAAGTTCCCCCGATGTCGACTCCAATAAATGCACCCCTCTATTCAATTGCAAATGTGACTTTAGAGCTATTGGGTGTGGGAAGTATGGGCAAGTGTTTGAGGTTAATAACAAGGGGAGTGTATACGCCGCAAAAGAATATTACAACGTTTCTCCAGAAAAGTTGAATACAATTTTTTCGAAATTGAGCAATCTCAGACACGACAACCTAGTGACCTATCATGGTGTATATAAGAAGATAGACCCAGACAATAGCGAACGTGCAGTAGTTTTTATGGATCTCATTCACCTAAGCTTACCAGCTGTTATCGAAGACACCTCCAGGGATCTCGATACACGCACGACACTTTCGATTCTTTGTGATATAGCACATGGTTTAATTTTTCTTCACAAGCAAGGCATTTTTCATTGCGATTTGATCCCAAACAATGTTCTTCTGACGGCTGAGCTTCGAGCCAAGGTTTCGGACTACGGTAATGCTCGTGTTGATCTGGTAACCACTCATCACGATCGCTATACTTGCGACTACCTACCTCCTGAAGCTATTGAGGGGGATTCTCCAGACGCTAAAGTTGATGTCTTCTCTTTTGGACATTTGCTTATGTACATAGTTTTGCGGTATCAACCTCACCCCCTAGAGAAAGCGGTATACAAAGAAAATGGACAGCACATGGCGCGATCCGAATTGGCACGTCGAGAAAGGTTTGTTACTAAACTAACTGTCAAAATTGAGAATGGCGAATTACAGCCACTTTTACAATGGACGAAATCATGTCTGGATAATGATGCATGCAACAGGCCTGTATTAACTGATTTTTTTTCTGTCACTAAAACCTGCAAATTTTAAATTTTCTTTTTTGTACCATCTAAAATTATTGCACCGTCACTGTCACAGCTGCACATTAAGATACCACTGGAGAATTATTTAAAAATTCCACTTGTAATACCATTTGATATAATATCTTTACAACTAGGCCTATCATGTGGTTCATTATGAAGACATTTTACTATGGTTAGATAAAGTGGATGCTGTTCTCCACGATCCAAAGCTTTGCTCACTTCTTTCAAATACTTGTGACGTCGTTGAACTTCATTTCGAGCAGCTAGTTTTCCATTCACAGAATAGGTTGAACTTAGAAGTTTGGATGGTCGCCTTGCGATGATGATATGTATAGCAAGATGACCGTATGAAAAGACATCCAATTTATCGTTGTATGCATCACTCTCTGCTTCTGGTGGCATGTAGTCAGGTGTGCCAGGATTTGTTGTTAGAAGTTCCGGTGTTCCATGTAGATCTACGATGCGAGAGTTTCCGAAATCACTGATTTTTGCATCTCCATTCCTATTTAGTAGCACATTTCCAGCTGTCAGATCTCTGTGGATGATAGCGGGGTCTTGACTGTGTAGATGGTGCAGTCCCTTTGCAATATCGTACAAGATTCGTAGCTTCACGGGGAGAGTAATACCTTTTAGTAGGTATGCAGTCAAGTTAATGTCTGCTTTTTCCATCACTATGACAGTTGATTTATCTTCTAATCTACATATGTTGTAGTAAGACACGATGTTCGGATGGCGAATTCGTGCCAGGATTTCATGCTCGCGACAAAGAGATTGAAGTACGCGGTTGTCATGAAGCATTCTATACTTTTTAGCTGCATAATATTTGCCCCGGTATGTGACTTCCAATACATCACTGTAAGCACCTTGGCCCAACAAAACTCCAGTTGGATACACGATGCAATTTGGGAGATTTGGGCAATCTTCTTCACCTTTTTATACATACAATAAGTAATCAATATGCATTTTAAAAGTATTGTTACTTACCAGGTGGAATGGCTCTAGCTGCATCATAAGTGGGAAACACAGGTATATAATTATGATGACAGTAATGAAAGTACTAAAGTGCAAACCCTCGGCACACTATTATAGGAATGCATGTTTGCAACACCGCTGGCCAGTACCACACGTGCAGTCTGTGAAGATGGCTAGGCATTGTAGGACTCAATTGATACTCGTAACTTCTGATGCCTCCACAGTGCGCAAAATAGGTCGAGGAAAGCCAGTGCTAATTAGCATATTAACTTCTTTACATGCTGAGTGCGGACAAACCATCACCCCAGGATAATGCTGAACCTGTGTTACACATGGTGGCAGACAATGTGGTAGCCAACACACACCCACACACTCACAAACTGGATACTACAGCCTTTGCTGCGGATGTGTGCCAAGTCAAGCGTTAAGAATATTTTGGAAAGATGTATAGGTATTACTGATGTCAACTGACCAGGCTTTACCTTAAGAAAAGGGCGAGGTAGCTACACGCCTTTTGCACATAGGCTCAGTAAACTGCATGCAGAGTTTACCCTACATACACAATGCGTGCAGGGATTGTGATGTCATACAGACTGATCATCAGACAGGTAAAAACATTTATTGCTAACGGCTATTATGGCTAAGCTTTGGTGGAGAGAGTTTAAACCCGCAGCTAAGCCCACCTAAGGGCGATATATAGAATGAGACACTGAAGCTCAACTTCTGTAGCATTGGCCTACATGACACTCAGGTAATCAATGAGAATTATGTGGTTAAAAGGGACCTTTGTAAACCATGGTGAATGGACAAATTCCCATTCAGAAAAAAAAACGGCTATACCACACTACTGGTTTCTTGGCCACAATACTTACAAGTTTGAATATCACAATATGATGCAAATCCACCAAGTTTGACATTGATTCCAGTGACCTGAAATGATTTCATCTTCTTGATTCTTGCTTTGTCTGTTATTCAAAAATGTAAAAGCACAAAAGTGCAATATGATGCAATTCTCTTTGCAGTATGTATTCTGGCTATCAGTAGGTACCATTGGACCAACAACTCAATATTAGTCCGATGAGTAACTACATGTGTTACTGTGCAGTAACTGGTTGAGGTAATCCATTACATATTCGCACATTGGCTTTTTCTCATGCCGTAGGTTTCAAACACAGGAGTTAAGGCTTTTAGCTGTGGCCATGTATGCCTGCCAAAGAAGTTATTCACGCATTAGCTTTTTCTCATGCTGTAAGTTTCGAACACAGAAGTTTCAGGCTTTTATATAGCCATGGCGATGTATGACTACCAATGAGGTTATTAAGTCCCACCATTAATTTTAGCCGGTGGACACAGACAGGCACAGTAGCAGTAGGGCATGGAAACACGAGATCTATTAATCCGCTAGTGTGCAGTATATTTGCCTCCCATAGGGATGACTAAGCTGTTTGGGTTTCCCCTGCTGCAGCTCTGCTTTTGCATGTGCAGCCAAGCAATCAATGACTTAACTATAATTATTTTTTGCCTGCTTACTGCATTGTTGAGGCTTGAATTCAGAAGTTATTTGTGATTCTAGCATTGCCTCCAGACATGACCCAACTGACGTACAGATATTCTGTACAACACTGATATTAGGAAGCTTGAGTATATAGCTGGACAGTACGGCCAAGCCCATGTGTGTTTGCGTTTGTGGGCTAAAGACTTTGTATGTTAGTTGTGCAATGGAACAGCTTTACCAGGAATATTCCTTTGGGACTGGCCAGTGATGCTGTTTTCCACGTTCTCCTGAACCCTTCCGAAAGTGTTTCTCTCTTCTCCAGGCAAAGTGGAATTGCTCTCCGTCTCATTTACATTCAGTGGAGGATCTAAACATACACAATTAGGAATGTACCAACTACAATACACAAACTGTATAATGAAACAAACAAACCATTTAAGCTTGTTGTCCGCAGGAAGTTTGTTTTTCTACTACTGGCATCAGACACTAAAACAAGTGATGCCGTGATCATGTGTAGTGTAATAGAGAAGTTTACATACATGGCTCGGAAGTTTGTCGTTGAACTTGAGGCTGTACTCTAAACCCGTGGTCTGCAAAGGAAGAATAAATTCCAGAGTTCTATAAATTATGTTAGCAGACAAACCTCCATCGTACATCTCTCCTTGAGGAGTTGTTCTTGGAGTAAATCCTCCAGTGAACAGGTTGTTCAGCATTGTTTGAACTGGAAGAGTAATCAGATCTCAGTTTGTGTATTAATTACGTCTGTGTACATACCATCCCGGGGTAGGTGGGCCCCTCCGCTCATCTGTCAATATTCATGAAGAAACTTGTAAGTATTGCACAACTAGTTACTTTTTTCATGCTTCCCCCAAAGTTTACACAGAAAACCTCATATAAAGCACATAAACTTGCAAAAGGGGATGTCCCACATCCTGAGTGTGGACAGCAGACATTAACTGCCAATACATTGTTGCCACTGAAAGCATACATGTAGGTATATACCCACTACAGTCGGAGAGTAAGCCACGTGGTTGTTTGCAGGTATCAACATTGGTGCAGCTCACTTGTATTATAGCATAACTTGCCTCTTTTCTTGCACCAGGCTCTCTAATACCCTCGTATATAGCTTTAAATCTGAAGCTGCTTGTATCGCAATAGGCTGCCTTGTAACCTATATAGTGTCCGAATAATCGTCTACACTCAAGCATGAAATGAAACTGCAGCCATCACTGCAGAATCAGCATACACTCCTTGCGCAAGGGGTTCTACAGTACTCGCTAATTATGCATTCTTTAAACCTCCCCAAGAGCATTATGAGGTAAACTAAGGCCAACCTCGAAGATGAGACAACCCCAGCAGGATACACACAAAAGCTAGAGGTTCTACTATAATAAAAGGCAAGCAGTGAGTTTGGAAGGCTTACACCACCTCTATGATTAAAATTATGCTGTACATACGTTGTGAAAGGTCCAAACCAGGTCTTCTAAGTAACTGTCGGAATCATTTGGATGGAATTTCAAAACCTCAATCTGAAATATGTCCTATAAAAACAGAGCACATTAGAATCCATCCATTCTCTTATACATGATAATGTATGTATGTACATACATTCCATGCAGCCCATACTCCGCAAATGCAGTTTGCTTGTGAGTCTGTGGTATTTGACATGACAACGTACTATAGTCAGAATCTTGTGTGCAATGAGGTAGCGTAGTGGAGAGGGTTCCCCCTGGAGAAACTTGTGCCTCAGTTCTTGATCAGTCTACAGTCAAGAACAAATGCATACATACATGTGTGTTAAACACAGAAGCTTACCATTGAACCTGACAAAGCTTGGTAGAGAACATTTGCAACATTTGCATCTGTGGCTCGGGCTATCTCGATAAGACTCTGTGGCTGTAAAGCTAACATCACTGACAAACTCTCCATACACTGGGATCAACTCACTGTGACTTTTATGTCAGAGCTATTGAAAATGGCTGAGACACAGATCCTGCAAAAACTGGTAAGGACAGAGTTTATCTTGTCCCGTTCTCTTGGACTTAGCACTGGTTGACTATGGACTGGAGATGGTTTAGCCTGGGGTACCCCATCTTCTAGGTCTTGCAGAACCTGTTACAGTTAAGATTGATATTGTTAACCCTTGGTGCGCATGCGCAGCGAGTGTTATTTATGTGTGTGTGTCTGTCTGTCTGTTAGCACGTTTTCTGCAACCACACGCAACGAGCCAGCTAAAAAGAGATACTCATCATTACACTGTTTTTAAAATTATTATATTGGTGATTTTCATGTTAACACCCTGGGTACATTGTGTGAAAACCAAGTGAACAACCCAATACATTCTGCCTGTTTGCATACCGTGCATGTCCAGTCTTGAATACTAGTCTAGCTAGCCAGTGCCAAACTCTCAGAAAGCTAGCGAGAGATGTAGCCCAGCCCATTAATAAGTGGTTCTGACTTGCACATGTGTATGGGTGCAACGCTTATAGGCATGCGTTTCTAGTGCCCCGAGGGTTTGCACTTCTCTTTTACTCTGAAATACCATTGCCAGGTCAGGATGATTCACTGCTTGCATGTACATCACAATGCTTTCCACTGGCTCGGTGCTGTCCCGTTGGGCCTGCATCACCGCTGCTCGCTAGAGTAATATTATATAAAATGTTTACATGTGCAAGTGCAAAAATTTGTGTGTGGCTCACAGGTCCGCCCAGAATATCAAGCAGCTCTCTTGTGTAGTAGTATTTCTCTGTCCTCACAGAGGTCATGATGACTGCTGTTAGCTTTGATACAAGGTGACAGTAGTCACTCTGCAGTTAGATCACTATTAAATGCTTACCCAATGGAGAGTTTTGATGGAATTTCGGCTGTTCAACAGCAGGTGAAATGTTTCAACATGATCTCCAATAATAGCATATGCAATTGCCGGCAGCATATTCTACCACATCAGACACACTAATTATGAAAGGACTCTGAGCTGGAGACTTACAGAGCAGAGGTAATTGATATCAGCTCCACTGTCAAGCAGTAGCTCCACCATCATTTTGAATCCATGTTGAGCAGCTTGAGCTAATGGAGTCAGCTCTATTATACCGTCTACTGCACCTGCCTCAAACTAACAGAGAGAAAAATGCACGCTATATCTATCCTATGATATCATTGTTTAGCTTACTTTCGCTACATTTACAGAAGCTCCTTTCCTTATGAGTAGTGAAGCAGTGTCATATTCATTTGCTTCCACAGCTACAAATAATGGTCCTATACCTTCCTGTATAGCACAAGGGTCATCATGGCACTTTGACACAAGTAAGTGTATGCTCACAGATGTACACTTGTTTACATCAGCTCCTTCACCGATGAGTACTTGTGCCAAGTACCAATAGTGGTTGGTACAGGCTTGAAGAAGTGCAGTGTATCCATTCTAAATAACAAACAAAGTATCAAGCCTTCATTTACAATCAAGCAATGTTATATCTGCATGAAGCATTCAAAATCTACACACATAGCCCATAGGAGGTGAGTTGAAAAGTACCTTTGCAGTTGCGTCTACATCAGCGCTGTATCGTAGCAGTGCATTGACCAAACCCATATGACCTTGGGCACTTGCTTCCACCAGAGGACGATGCCTTTCCTGCACAATACATTTAGAGATAGGCTGTGGCACACTTTCATTGACTCACATTTCCATTTGGGTTGGCACCATACTTCAAGAGCAGCTCAGCAGAGGCAACAGCTCCACACTTGCAGGCAGTAGAGAGAGGGGAACACCCAGTTTCCTATCAGTTGCAGTTGGGAGGAGAAAGGTTAGAATACCCATCTTTATCAGGATACCCAATGCAATATCCAGACCAGCTTCTTTAAGTTGCTTACCAATGATTCCACATCCACTGATACTCCCAGTTTCTGATACTCTTTCAGAATTAGCTCAAGAACAACCCGATTTCTCAGAGTTTCTGTGTAGTTCAGGCATGTTTCTCCTTTCTAGGAAGTTAAAGTGTTTGACAGCTATGCATGTACATACACGAGCTAAAAATGCTACCTTGTCTTTAACTTGGACATCTGCTCCAGAAACGATGAGCAACTTTACCACTTTATCTCTTCCTTTCAAGCATGCAAGCATGAGTGGAGTTTTTCCATCCTGATACAAAAGTAACTTCAATCAGGCAATGATGCAGTAAATATGCCAAGTTCATAGTGTATGCCACAAAGAATTACTAGTGCACACATTGAAACTGTTTACATACTCACAGAACTATTAATACAGTACATGAATTGCATAATACCTCACTAAGAGCACCCAAATGACATCCTGACTTTATCAGAGCTTCAGCTTTCTCCCAGTTGCTGTCCAAACAGGCAGTGAGTAGGGCATGGCCAGTGTCCTATATTATATGGTGCAGTATTAGGCCTTCACTATCTCACGAATTTTTGTGGTACGAAAAACTTTGTTAATGAAAACAAGTAAGGGCTGCACATTATTACAATACCAACCTTCATACGTACTGGCTCAGAAACACCAAGCTTTTCAACTGTGACTATAATTTATAAAGAGATATCATGGGGTAATCACAGGCCACAAAGTATCACATACTGAACCTACGTTGATTGAGAAGGCCCACTGTCTCCTCAGTCCCACAGTCTGGCATCCACCACACCCTCATGAACATTTGTATCTGACGATGGGGGTCTCCCCCTCCAGCTCTGGCTATGGCACCAATCTCCACCTCAGAGTAGCCCAGGTAGACTGCCAGTCTAACCCAGTTCTGACCCAGTGTCTGTAGCACCTCATAAACCCACGGCGGGTTGCTGTGGCCTGGGGGTTGTTAGGGTGCACAGGCATCAGGTTAGCTATTGGACATAGATAACTTACAGTAGGGTAACAGAAGGCTGAGGTATCGGCCAGTGTGTCGAGTGAGCAGAAGAGCTGACACCAGCTTGTGAAATGAAACTCTTGGTGTTAAAAGAAATCCGAAAAATGCTATGGAGATCTGTGAGACTGCCATAGTTGCTCAGCCCAAGCTCATGATTCAGTCTGTCTGCATCCTTCGGGGGCAACATTATAGGTGATACTCTCTGCAATATATTTGTCAGATCTGTACGATATGCAAAAAAGTAATTGATCACTGTTTTAGTAGGTAACACTGTAGCTACCATAGTGATTGACATCTGGCAACTTTAACTTCATTCTCGCTGCAGAAAGGTTTTAAACATGGGCAACAGACTAGCACAGATACAGATACATACCTACGGGCCGAAGTTCGCTGGTAGCAACACCATGACACCACGCATTACCAGACACCTCATAGCAGTCCAAGAGAGCCAGGTAGATACCCTCCACTATACTGGCCTCAATTCCTGGCTCGCGTGATCTAGCATTCAACAGCCTCTCCAGACTTCTGGCAGCTTCACCGTCTGACTGGCTGAGAATGAACGAACTGGCGCTAGCGGCCACGACTTGTCGTCTAGCAAGATGTAGCAAGAGCTGCCGTACACACTTGCAATGAAAAATGCGCGAGGATATGGCTACCACAGCCTGGTGAGCGTAGTCCTTGCCTGTGGCGTATGTCAACATGTATGTCTTGTCGCGAAGCTGAAAATCTGTGTGCTTACCATACACTGCTCTTTGTTCTGCCACTGGGCGGACGTCTTGCAAGCGTAGGACGTCCCATCTCCCCTCCTCTGCTACGCACTGAGACTCCATCTTGAGCCCAGAATACACCCCTGCTGTCACGCCCTTTTAATAACTCTCCACTCGTGCGCATGCGCTTTGTGCTACAAATTGACATCAGTCCTGCTATATGAAACAAAATTTGAGTATGAGTCAATGAACACCAAGAGAGCTTCGAAAATCAATTGATACTGCTGCTGTAAGTTGAAGTAAATTAAAATGTAGAACGATCATACCAAAGTTTGTATGGCTCCCTCTGTCTTACACCTCTCAATGGTGCACAGAATGTGGGCGATCTACTCACCATGTTGCTGCAGACAGGAAAAATAGGATGCTTCTAGTAGACCCAACCCTCTGTTTATTACCATTGCAAGGCATATATACCTTGCATGTGTTTATGCAAGGCGTATGTACCTCATATGCGTGCATGCACACAAGCATAATACAGCGAGCAGCTGATTAGTTTTATGCCACACCAGATTGTGACACAATTATTCAATCTACTTATGCGGTCAGCCCAGAAGACTCGCAGTCCATGGACGACAATAGGGTGGTTCCCAGTCTTCCTCTGGACCTTTGGAGACTTCCTCTATGACAGAGACCATGGCATTCACATCCCCACGCCACTGGTAGTCTGAGCTCCACTCTGGGATGTGGAACTGCCACACCTGATGGGCTGTACCGGACTAGGACCACAAGAAGAAAGCATCTCTTATATCAGAGAGTCGGTAGACTCTCTATAGGGATGACGCGGGTGAAATCTCACGTGATCCGCGTACAA